GTAAGTAAGAAGATAGTTTGAGACCAAGAAGGACATAGGATACTTTTTGTCCTTGAAATTATCACTTAAGGGGGCGAAAATGGGGATGAAAATTTGTATGGGGAAACAACCTAGAGACGAACCCGAGCGAAGCGAGGGTGAGTCGCTAGTATTATACACAGACAGACAGCTTGATCTTCTGGCAAATTTTATTACTAACAATAGCCCGTGTTACTTACATCATAATCTATCCATAATCTAAATTTAATTTAAATCCTTCTGTAAAGGAGTAACAAACATACACACACCGACAATCTTTCACATAATACGATAGTAGTGTAATAAGAAAATTAGAAAAAAAACTCCGTACGGGTATCGAACCCGCGTAGAAACATCACACACATGTCACACTATCTCTTAATGATCATGATAATGATAATTATGAACAAAACAAGTAAACAATACGCAAGTTATAATTATACCGCACAGATGGCTGCGGTGTAAGTGACACCGCTAGTTAACTACGTAAATTCAATACATAACTATGGAACATGAGCATTAGAGCTAGTTCTACGCCTATTAGGACTTATAGGTTTATGGGACAAGGATTATGTCCGATTAGATTCAATTAGGTATAACATGGTTTTCGTATAGTTTCTTTCGAACTACTTATTTCATTTAGGTATAACAATAATAAATTATATATATTTTGCTATTAAAATACAGGTATATAAAAAATCTACATTAATTGTTTTATGTTGTGAGAGCAATTGCCAAGTGAACTTAAAATATTAATTTATAAATTATTCATATACCCACTACATAGTACAAAATGTGGCAATTATTTTACCTATCTTTACTAATATTATAAATGTGAAGGTGTGTTTGTTTGTTTGTTTGTCCTTTCACGTCGAAACGAAGTGACGGTTTAGCGTGTTTTTTTTTGTGGAGATAGTTTTGGAGTGATGGAGAGTGACATAGGCTTATTTTTTACCGCGGGAGATTACCTAATTCCCACGGGAAAACACTTTATAATACAATCCAAAAAATATTTATGATCAAAATTAATTAAAACTTGGTATTAATATTAATGCTCTTCAATAAAATTAAATAAATATGTGTATCAGCATTTTTCGACATTCATCCCATAAGTGGGTAAAATAGGATATGAAAGTTTGTATAAAACTATGTTTTTAGCGATTTTTTGTAGTTTTAGCGCGAGCGAAGCCGCGGGTTCCACTAGTAAATTATAAATATATATCTATATACGTGCTATGTTCGATATAACTAAGTGAAGCGGGTTCGGTGCGAGGTGCGAGACCACTGATATTTTTAGGTGCGAATCATTCCCAATAACATTACCACTGGTCTTACGGTAAAGTAAAATATTGTGAGGAAACCTGCACGTCTGAGAGCAAACGAACACTAAAAAGTTTTCAAAAGACATGTGAAGTCCGCCAACCCGCACTTGGCCAGCGTGGTGGACCATGGTCTGATCTCCCTGGTATTGATGGGAGGCCTGTGCCCAGCAGTGACATGTTAAAAAGGGCTGAATACGAATATACGGGCTGTATACGAAGGGTATAAGTATTAACTAGTTTTAAAATACCAGATTAAACAAATAAAGTTAAATGATGATAAGTTATCTTGCTATTTCTATTTTCCTTTTAAAATAGACATAGTATTATATTTTCTACTAACAATTACCCGGAATCGATTGTGAAACATCAATAAATCTGAACTGTTATTCGTTTGTTTTAACATAATAGGAATCATAAATTCAAAGACGAATTCTGTGAATTCTGAAACAATACATAAAGTAGTGCTTACGTGGTTTACTTATTGTTAATTCGCCTGTATTTAAATTTCATTATATCCTCAAACCTTTACATTTTACGATGTATATTGTACGAGAAACGCTTAACGCACTATCTCGTCATTTTATAAAACAAATCCTACTTTTATTTTGATTGATCTATGTTTGTTACTCTCTCACACAAAAACTACTGAACGGATATTGATGGAACTTAACAGTAATACAGCTTGTACATAAGAGGAACAGGTTATAATCTATACTAATATTATAAAGAGGTAAAGTTTGTGAGTTTGTGACGTTGTAGGGGGTAATCTCTAAATCTACTGAACCGATTTAGATGAAGTTTGGTAAGAAGATAGTTTGAGACCCTGGAGGCCATAGGATACTTTTTATCCCAGAAATCATCTTTTAAGGGGGCGAAAATGGGAATGAAAGTATGTATGGGGAATCAAGTAAAATAGATATAGTAATATAATAAACAAAATACACGGACAGAGCCGCAGGAAATCGCTAGTAGTTACAATAATTTAACTCATGATACTAACTTAAAATAACTTGAGCACTGAGCAGAGACAGTTGGGGCAAAATAAACAAAACAGACACTATGGTAACGTCGAATCTCCCCTATTCTAACGCGTTCTAATGATAGCGATTACGTTATCCTTAAATATTTTATAATCTATATTTGGAAATAAATAATATATATTGCGACGTATCGAAGCTTTACTAAAGCTTACAATGAGTAGAAGCTGAATTGTATCAAAAATCTATTATTTAGCATTTATAAATGGCAACATTTATACTACATCCCTCTGTTATGAATTGTAAATTTTTTTATCGATGAGATTAGAAAACGACTAAATAATATTCATCTTCATTTACCTTACAACTAGCCACTTAAAAACAAAGTATATATATCTATATATAGGTATAAAAATTAAAAATCAATCGCCGCCGTTCGTTAGTCTCGCTAAAACTCCAAAACGGCTAGACCGATTTGAATAATTTTTGTTTTGTTTTGTTGAGGTGTGTTAGAGGTGGTATATATACCTATGTAAGATAAAAAATAGGGAAAACCTAAAAAGACAGCTAAAAAATCGAAAAGTTCAGAATCGTTTATTTTGTACCTATGTATATATAATATATAGCCTATCTATTCCACTAACCTTTAAAACGTACCCAGGGATGAACCCGAGCGAAGCGAGGGTGTTTCGCTAGTTATATAATAAATATAAATGACTGTTATTCTGTAATGTTTGATTTAGTAAGCATACCGGCAAAAAATATTATTAGAAAACTAAGCCATGGGTGAAGTTTTGCAAATTACCAACGTCTTTAAACAAAGATAACAAGTAACCTTTAAATTGCGAAATCCAATGAAACTAATTAATATTTTTTGAATATTGTCAAATAAATCGTGTCAGTCTAATTTATTTCGATATATACATTTTATCTCAACATATCTAGAACTTGTATTACAAAAACTCGATTTTTAAAGTTAATGTTTTAGGTCATACGTGTCGCCAAGGCAATAAAGTTCTAACTTGCGTGTAGTGCGAATCGTGAACTTTTTATGTTGATGTATGCAATGACCTGTGTTAAATTAGCTAGTCGTATGCCAAAGTCTAACATTGTTTTTTTTGTAGAATATTACTAAGATTCGCAAGTTGATTTGTGGTACTATTTTAATATTATATGAGAAAAAAAAACACGTTATTATACAAAAATAAGCTATAACCACAAGTAAAAAGCTATACCTTTAAAGTGTAATGAAATTTCCTTCTTATAGATGCCAAAATTTGAAACAAGGGCAATTTAGTAACCTTTACCCAAAAAGAGATCAATGACCGTATTTTATTATAAAAAAACTGATTATATGCGTAAATTAAGGTACCGTGAGATTATACCATTTAATTATATATTAATATTATATATTAAAACTTCGTTTAACGAAATTTTATAATTTCAAACTGTTTAATATTGACTTAAGTAGGTACTTATACATATAGACTTGTATAATATATTTTTTCTTTAAATCTAGGTCTTACCCAATAGGTGGCACAAATTTAGAAATAACCAGACCTGTGAGTCCGGATGCTGACACAGCTATATTAAAGCGATGCGTTGTATTGATTATTTTGCACCTTGTGATATGACCAAAACAGATATGCGCGAAATTAAATCAACTAAAGTTTCTTAGTAAGCTTTAAAAATTATACATTTTGCATATTTTATTATAGTAAATTAAAATATAGTATATTATATGGATAAGAATTAGAGACTAATTAGTAAAGAATAAAGATAATCTATACATATAATAAAATTGTAACTAAGCCGAATCTGTACATTAAATATGTTTTGGAAAATCTTAATGAAATAAACATTATTATCGATACAGAGGCCGAATCTATACTTTTTAGAATTTTTGTCTGTCCGTCTGTCTGTTACCGCATCACAGAAAAACCACTAGAGGGATTTTGATGAATTTTGGTATGGTGATATCCAGCTGCTGGTTATCCAGGTCAACATATAATATAAAAAATGCTCTGTCAAATTGTTTGTTTACAATACAACAATACGTATATTGTGTCAAAAGTAATCACGTTGTTATATACATACATATATTTAACAACTTAGTACCAATCCGAAATGTTTTATACATACTTTTCTGTTCCATATTTAAATTATATAATAAACAGTAACAACTTTAAGTAGTCTAACTTGATCACAGTTTATTAATTACGTATAATTCGTTTCTTATTAGGCTAAAACTGTTAACGGTATAACGGTCATTATGAGGAAACAAATGTTTCGTTTGACGTTTGCATATCGAGTTTTCAGTCTTTGTGTTTTAATTGACATGTACCAATAATACATGGGTAAATCCAAGATTTGAAGCAATTTGTATATATTTTCTCTCATAATTATGACCAGACAGTTCATAGTAACGTCGATTAAAAACACAAAAAATCAGAACAAATATTTCTGTTGAATTATTGTACAAATAACGCACCCTTAAATATATTGAATAAGGTTTGTGGTCCTACTAGAGATACCTGAATGGAATGCAAAAAATGTCTAGTTATGTGTCAAATAACAAAATCTTGCCACTACCTTAGAAATATTTAGAAAAAAAAACAAAGATAAAATGCAAGAAGAGTTATGTTTACCATTCGGCACTGAATATAAATAGAATACAACTTACCTTTAGAATCTCCGTGTAGCGTTTTAACGGAGGGTGCGAGTCCGAAGGGCGCCTTGGGCACAATCGCGGCGCCCTTATTTTTTTCAAACAAAGCTTTACGTTCCCTAAGTGACATTTCAGCGGGATCCTTTTCCTTGGACCTAGGGCTCCCCGCTTCGAACATAGCGGCTTTAGAAAGAACTGAACTTCTATCTACATTGCCGTTCAAACGCGGCCCGAGTCGCCGTACAGCCGGCGAGCCCTCCGACACCGGTTTGTCATCTTGCTTTGTTTGTATACACTCGTCGTTGTCGTTCTCTTCCCGTTCGACCACATTGTTCTCTTTGTCCTTATCACTTTCACAATTTTCATCTAGTATTTTGTTGGGGGGAGTGGGTGCGCGGTATTTTTTTATGGACGGCTTTTTTGTGACCGTCGCAGGTGAGACGACCATAGTCGCCATGTTTGGGGCTGGAACTGCACTGGGGGTTGCTGTAGTTTTCGGCTCCTGTCGGTTGTTTTCGCGTTTCGTCGGGTTGAATTCGTAAACGAGCCGCGATTGGGTGGCGGAGACGCGGCGATACCCCTCGTCCTCCTATGATTGGACAAGGGCGGCGGTCACCGCGGGGTGAGCACGTGCTTTTTGATATCGAGACCGTTTGTGGGTTAGTGACGAAGTTGCATCATGACGTTACGCAATTAGTTAGGTCAGGAGAGCAGGGAACTTGTAGGGATTGAAATGCCGTCTGTCCGTGCGGCGTGCGTGAGCCTCGGGAGGCGTCGAACAGTCAACTGCCGTACAACCCGATGCCACACGTGCGGAAACCGGCCGCCGATTAGGGATGGAACATTTCACGAGTAGCAAGTGAAAAATCACGTGAAATGCGTAATCATACGTCACACCTGCTACTTAAATTCATAGTGGCTGCTACAAATCACAACTTGGTGAAATCTAGAGCTGTAGCAAACCGTATGTATTCGTTACTGAGTAACGGGTACGCCATCTAGTACCGAGTACCGAAACGTTACTCACGAATGCATTTCGTTACTCGCATTTTCCGTATACATTTTCGTACTGATGTTTTTATTGATTTTTTATTCAACAAAACACAATTTTCAGTTAATACCGTTGATCAGTAAATTGGGGAGTTTATTTATTTCGAGTTGCATGATTTCGGATTCTTAGAAATATTGTTTAGAAATAATTTTAAATTAGAAACAACAATTAAATTTAGAGCACATTTTTAGTTTTTTATCCAACAAATACTTATAATTTTTACTGAATGATTATGTGTAATACGTACAGACATAACCACCAACGCTGAGAACGAGCTAGAAATGTTTATTAATGAACCAGTGCTTCCGCGCGATTCTTCGCCATTAGTTTGGTGGAAATCTCACTCCTATATGTACCCCAATTTGGCGGAAATATTTCATGAGCACTGTCACATCGTGGTGACATCAGTGGAGTGTGAGAGAGTATTTTCAAAAGCGGGAAATTTTGCAACCCAAAAAAGAGCACGATTAAGCAGAAAACGAACAGCGGAACTTGTATTTTTAAAAAGCAATGAAGACTATTGTATATAGATATCTCATAAAAAAATCAATCATCAAAAAAATCAAAAAGCAAAAAAAATGATTATAAACAAATAAAAAAAATTAAGAAAAACAAAAAAAAAGTGTATAAAATTCTTTTATAAAAATTCTTATTGTACATAAAAACAATGAACTTTTAAATACGCCAATGCAATTATGGAACTTAGCTTAATACAATTTTACCGTGTGATTACTCTGATATATTTAAAATTCATTTAATTTTACATTGTCAGTCCCAAGCCTGTAGAAGTATGAGGGAAAGTTCATTGTTTGAAAATAGGTTCATTCAAAGCACCATGTACGTATGCAACTACGTCAGATCTATATCTCTGCTCCATATCACATCAGTAGCGCCATTGGTGACATTTCATACTTCATTTTAATAGCAAATAATATAAAGTGTGACACCAGACCGTCGAAATCAAAAATCTATGCGTGAAAAGTAGCAGGTGAAATCACGTGAAAAATTGTTGTAATTTCATCACGTGATAATGATTTAAAAGTAGCAATCATTTCCATGCTTACCGCCGATAATAATTATTTTGACGCGCACGCGGGACATTGCAGTTTCGTACGACTGTATGTTTATGACGTTTAATTTTTCAGTTAATCAGGACGTTGTCTCATTAGTCATCAGTATTATTACTATGACTATGTATATTAAATTTTTTTATTTTATAAAATATATTGCTTTTAATATTACACAATAATTTTAAAGAAGATGTAACTTATAAATAAATGTACCTAACTGTTAAGAATCAAAAGCGGAAGAAGTTATATTTGTTTTCATTATTTCTAGTCGGCAAACAGAGCGTTACCAAATACGTCTCGGTTTGACACAAAGGCCGACGTAGTTTGTAGTAACTGAACAGCTGATTATTCTAGTACAATGTAGACTCTATTACAAGTGCATAAGGATGACAACAATTCGGCTAATGTATGAATATAAGTACGTAATTAGCACAAAGAACATTGTTTCGTGTTCTTACTAATACAAAGGAGTGAATGACACAAATTGACAGATAATGAAATTTGATTTTTAAATGTTTCAAAAAGGTTTCAACCTAATTAAAAAAAATAACTATATAGATTATCATCTATATCTCAATACCACCCGACTAGATTTACAGGGTTAAAAATTTTGACGACGTTTTTCTATAATGACATCTTACCAATATTATAAATGTGAAAATTTAAATGGATGTTTGGATATTTGGTACTCAATCACGCCAGAACGGCTGAACAGATCTGGATGAAATTTGGCACAGAGATAGATTAAAGTCTGGGTAAGCACTTTTTATTCCGATGATACGATTTGTTTTTATTTTTCTAGAGGCGAACCCGAGCGACGCGTGGCTGAGCCGCTAGTAAGGTTATAATTATGAAAATAGTTTTTGAAATTCTACTCTTAAATAAGAGAACAAGGGTAACAAAGTATGTATGGGATATGATATTTTTCGATTGTCAAAGCAAAAAGTACCTAGCAAAATAATATAAACAATGACTCATGATTGCAAAGCACTTTTGTGCTCTTTTTAAGCGTACACACAATCATAATACAAGCGTACTTATTAAATGTTATTACTGGTTTTAGTAGTACTTTAAAAGTTATCGAAGACCAATCGATAATTATATAATAACCTTTTAGATGCAATTAGTGCGAAGATCTTTTCCTACTGCCACTTTATAGACAAGGTTACATTGCTATATAAAATATCCATAATAGTTCAGAATAATATAAAATAACACTTCACATAAAAATAGCACTTCGCTCGGATACATTATAAAGTCCGAATAAGTAAACAAACAAACAAACGTGGTACTCCAGGTCATCATATTCTATCTGTAGGTACACTGAATTTTATCCAAATACGTCTAGCCGTTTCAGGGAGAAGGAATAACAAATATTATATAGACACACAAACTGCCATCATCACCGTAATCCGATAATATTGATGATAAATTTTGATATTATATATTATATGCGTTTATAACGTCGACTAAATAACGTTTTTTATCTATAAATAAATATAATAATATTCTGAGTCGAATCTGTACATTAAATATTTTTTCGAAAATCTTATTAAAATAGTAATTATGATCGATACAGAGGCCTAGTGTATAGTTTTTAGAATTTTTGTCTGTCTGTCTGTCTGGGAATTCGCATCACGAGAAAATCTCTGGACAGATTTTGTTGAAATTTGGTATGATTATAGCTGGTTATCCGGGTCAACAGTTAGGATACTTTTTATTGGGGCGAAATATCGCATCTCTGAGAAATCTATACTAACCTAATACTTTCTTTTATATTTCCCGTGACCATGAATGCTGTAAAGCATTCGAAACGTCGGGAACCAAAAATCCAAATAAATCCGCGAAAAAATCCGAAAAGATAGTTTTATTTAAAAAAATATCTATACTAACCGTTAAAAGCGGAGCGGAGCGAGGGTGCGTCGCTAGCCTACTTAATAATAGTTGTTAATTGATTATGTATCCGATAGGTTAAACGAAAGTTGTCCTGTTACACAAGCCCACCATACCTACAGCTTTACTAGAGTATTTTATTGTAATGACATTTTAATACCAACCGTCTAACCGCTTAGCGCAAAAAGGACCTGCTCATTTCACAATATAAAGCACATCTATCTGTGTATGATTTTTATATGACCCTTATTTTTTGGTAATCTTTTCACTAAAAATCGATAGATATCTGCATTTCGCCATATTCTCTGAAATAACGAGCGTCCTTGCGGCTGACTAATTAAAAACACGCAATCGTTTAGCATTTAACCGAATCAAAACCAACTTATGCGAGGTCAAGTTACATGTTAGACGTAAGTGAGAAAAAAATATCTAGGTACCTCTACCTACTACACTTTATACTTATATCGTTCTCGCTTCTGTAAAGCTAGTTTCTTTTTGTAATAGTTCAATATATATTCTACTAACGCCTCACCCTCGCTTCGCTCGGGTTCGTCCCTAGCTTGATTCCCCATACAAAATTTCGTCCCCATTTTCACCCCCATTAGGGATGATTTTCGGGATAAAAAGTATTCTATGTCCTTCCCAGGGTCTCAAACTATCTTCTTATCAAATTTCATCTAAATCGATTTAGTAGATCCAGAGATTACCCCCTACAACGTCACAAACTCACAAACTTTTCCTCTTTATAATATTAGAATAGATTAAAACAATAATTTATTACAATAACTACTCGTAGTTCTTATAGAATACACACTAGCGAGTCGTCTAGCTTTCGCTTCACTCGGGTTCGCCCCTAGGTACGTTTTAACGGTTAGTGTGGAATAGATAGAATATATATTATATTACTGCTCCCTTGGGTAGTAGCATGATGATATATAGCCTTCTTCAATAGTCTTCCTCAATAAACGGAATTTAATACAAAAAGAATTTTTCAAATCGGATTAGTGAGATTAGCCGTTCAATAAGCGCGTAGTACGAGTATAGATAGCATTCCAAGGGTGGCACTTTTTCTTAAAACCTGTGACCATGTTTGAATGTACGATAGAGTATCGATGAATTATAAAATAATTATAAAAATCGATTCAGAATTATCGAACAAAATACAACTCCTCTTTTTTGAAGTCATTCAAAAATATATTCATCTATTATCCCGATAACGTGTAAAAAAATAACAAACCGACACACTTTCTCATGAATAGGTATATAATTAGTAAGAATAAGTTTAACTCATAAATTAATATGCATGAGTAGGTATCTACGTGACAACCATTATTACGCAGTAATGTATGTACCTATCTGACTAGCACTACCTACTACACCGGAGGCCGCGGTTTCGATTTCTGCCAGGGTTAATATTAATGTTTCTTTAAGGTAGTGTTCTGAGCAGAGGAAAGGCACGAAGTAATGTCGACTATTGGCATATATCGG